CCAGAAGGCTGGCGGTTCAAACCCACCAGCCACTCCTCAGAAGGAAGATGGGGCAATCTACTTCCATAGTGATACTGCCTCAGAAAACCAAGGAGGGGTCACTATGAGTTGGGTCAGGCTGGACGGTACATAACAACAACCACATACCTACACACTCATATATACCTTCTTATAAACATATACGAATACACTTCTACCTATTTAACCACATTAACATTTTTGGTTGTGATGACTATCGTGAAACTGCTGTTATAGCATTTATCAAAGTTGTCTGTTTTTCTTGTATACTATTTAATGTCTTCATTTACTATGGTCAAATTATGCAGACTTCACCTTTATTTGGTACTGTTTTCCCCTCACCAAAAGTAACAAGCGTCTACTCTATAGAAGAAAGTGCTTTCTCCTCCCATCCTTGGAAACCACAAAGAGGGTTTCTTTCTGTGTGTATATCTATCTCTAACTTTTTTATAATAGTCAGACCATACAATATCTGTCCTTTTGTGATTGGCTTACTTCACTCAGCACAATGTCCTCCAGAGTCATCCATGGTATATTTTGTGGACTCATTATTCCTTATGTTGTTGTTATGTGCCGTCAAGTCAGCCCCGACTCATAGCAACCCCTCCTTGGGTTTCCGAGGTGGTATCACTATGGAACTAGATTGCCCAACCTTATACAAACCAAAAAAAAAAAAAAAAATCCAGTGCCATGTCGAGTTGGATCTGACTCATAGCGACCCCTCCTTGGGTTTCTGAGGTGGTATCACTATGGAAGTAGATTGCCCAACATGCCTTCTGAGGAGTGGCTGGTGAGTTTGGTAGTTGTGTAGTATTCCATTGTATGAGTATATCACAATTTATTCATTTATCCATTGATGAGGATTTAGGTTATTTCCATCTTTTTGCTATAGTGAATAATGCTGCAGTGAACATCGGTGTGCATCAGCATTCACTTCTTGACTGGATTGTTAGAATAACAGGTTTCCCTGCTTACACAATTGCCTACTGCAGTCTATTCTCATCTTAAGAGAGTAGTCAGGGTAAGCTGGTTAAATTGTCAGTTCTTTTCATTCCTTTGCTCAGAACCCTCCAGTGGCTTCCCATCTCAGAGGAGCCATGAGGTCTTACGTATTTTGACACTGATATCTTTCTTACCTTTTCTCCTATTACATTCTCTACCTCCCAACCTATGAACTTTTGTTCTCCAACTATAGTGAATTCTTTGTTACTCTCAAACACTCCAGGCATATTCTAACCTCAGGATCTTTGTACCTACTATTCCCTCTGCCTGGAATACTCTACCCTCAGATAGCCTCACCTCCATAAGTCTTTATTCAATTACCACCTCCTTAATGAGGCCTTCCTAGATCATCCTATGTAGAATTACACATACCACAACATTGCTATTTCCCTTTCTGGATTTTTTTCATTGAACTTAGTATCATATAAAATATATTTTATTCATTACTTTATTATCTGACCATACACAGAAAACATGCTATATGTACTGCTGTATCTCCAGTGCATAAACCAGTTTCTGGCACCTAGTATGCACTCAAAGAATGAACAGTAAGCTACTTAAGATTCTTAAAAGCTCTGTGTCTTTTATATTAAGAATGTTAAACAATTTTCCAACCAGCTAGTAGAGAAAGGATTCCATTTTAAAATGTCTATTTAATTTTATTTTCAGAGCTATTTTTAACTTGCCTTGAAATCAGTTCATTCTATACAGTTTTTCAATTGAGTCAGATCACTTAATTAAAATAAGTCCAAATGTGACAAATGATTATAACAAGTTTAAAATAAAAACTATAGTCATGATTTGCCTTCTCCAAATATACGTTCTCTCAGGTAGTCCATCTGAGCATCCTTTGTAGATAGTGCCATTGAGTTCCATTCAAAATGTGGAATCTATAAAATAAGTAATGTAGTTTGAATAAAAGTTTTAAAGCCACAAAAACAAAAAACATTGAGAAAGATTTATAAGCACTACTGAGCAAAGCTGTTGGAACCCTATGAAATTAGTTCACACAATTTAGTCTTTGAATCCTTTTTGGAAGCCCAGAGGGTCATCCTTCCTGACACTGCCCCAAAGACCCTTTCTACCGCCCAGCTCTTTTCATCCATCTATTTCTACAATACCAGCAAGGAATATTTCTTCCTATGTACCCTTCTATCTTTACACTAGCCTTTTCCTCTTAGAACTTCTCTTATCTCTTTAATGCCTCCCTCCCTAGGTAAGGGAGATCAGTAAGGAAATGATAATTATTATTTTTTGTTCTACAAAAAAAAGTTGTTCTAAAAATTTCATGTTAAAAAGAAGCACATATATAGTCAGTGACTGTTTTTTTTAAAGAGGCTGAATTACATAAGTGGTCCATACCTGAATCACATGATAGCCCAAAATTTCCAAGTGTCTTTTTTTCATGGCAGACTTTCCCTTTAAGTGAGGGATGTTTCTACAAAAAGCTCTTGAATCCAAAAACTCCAAGGCAATCCTATATAAAACAAAAAATAATTACTTCCAAGAACAAAACACAATACTGATTAAAAACATTTTAGGAATAAGAATGCATTCTTATAAACTAACAAATGAATATAAATGAGTATACCAATATACTTTTTACTTAAGAAGTTAGTAATTGATGACAAACCTATTCACAGTAGAATTTATACCAAATTATAGTAAATATCTCCATTTTCAACCATCTGATTCTTTGTCCAACATATTTATTATGTCCCTCTATAAGTAAGCCAGCACTAGGAGGAGCTCTGGTGGCGTAGTGCCTAAGGCATCTGACTGCTAATCAGAAGGCTGGCGGTTCAAACCCACCAGCCACTCCTCAGAAGGAAGGTTGGGCAATCTCCTTCTGTACAGATATTGCCTCGGAAACCCAAGGAGGGGTCACTATGAGTCGGGACCGACCTATGGCAGTGAGTTTGGTCTTTTTTGGTTTATAAGAAAGCCACTGTGAAGGATATAAAGATAGAGTAACGTAATTAAAATCTAACAGAGAACCTATGACATGCAAGCAAGTAATTGTAATGCAGTATAGAAAGTAGCTAAGAGCTATCCAAAAAGTAGAGAGGTAAGGGAGCTCAAAAGACAATGACACTATTTACTTACAGCTGGGGGACAAATGAAAAGGCCAGCACTTTAGACTGGTAGGCTTTGGACAGTGGCAGAAGGACATTCCAGGCAGAAGGCATAAGAAAAAGCAAAGTTACTGAGGTAGAATGCTTGACATATATGAGGAGCAGATTCTACGACAATCCTTGATTACTGGGTTCATTAAATTATGCCAAATTTAATATTTAGATAACAAAATCCAAAGCTAAGAAATAAGTTACCTTTCAGATCCTGGTGGCAGCCTTGATCCAGCTATTTGGGTATCTGACTTCCAGTGTACATCTGGCACTTTTCCCAAAATTACATTATGCTTTCCATATGGAAGAGGCTTTTTCCTTTTATCTATGACACACTCAAAATCTGTACATATAGAAATCAGTGGTATGAAGAAGGTAAATACTTACATGTACAAGTTTAAGATAAATATTCAAAAGAAAATTAAGTAAACCCCAGAAACTATTGCCGAGATCTTTAAAACTTAAACCAAAAATATCCCCTACCGTCATCTTAAAACCAAACAAGAGTTTAGCTTCACAAGTAAAAAAAGGTCTGCCGTGAGCTTTATGCTCTTTTAAGAACTATCTAGAAGGGATCAAACTGACAACAGCAATGCAAAGGATTAGATAGGAACTTCTGGGGACTGTGAATTTATGTTAATGGAACAACTCAGAAAAGGACGATGAGAATGGTGGCACAACTAGAAGAGCACAATCAATGGCACTGAGTTGTACACAGACTAACTGCTGAACTGGGCTATGTTTTGCAGTGTACACTCTCAATAACAGTAACATTTGAAAACTAGTATAATAAATAGCTATATATTATTTAAGAAAGAACTAGGTCTCTCTCAAATTTTATAAGATCTGGTCCAATGGAGCCTCTCCTTGAAAATCCATCAATAAAAATCAACCAGAAAGTATTACTAAATTCTATATTTAGCACTGCACTAAGTCACATCATAAAGGAGTTTTATTTTAATCCTCTTAAATCTCTATGTTAAGCTAAACCTACTCATCTGAAAACTAGTCAAGATAAAGATTCAAGCATTTATCCTACCTTTCCTGTATGAACTGTACAAGAGTAACTAAATAATTGATGTGCGAAAGTGCTTTTTAGACTAATTCCAGCTAATAAATGCAGAAGGAATGACAGATGGAGAATACCATGTCTTTGCCACCCTTAATGTGCGATGGCTTCTGGCAATGACTGACCATTAATGGTTGCTAAAATCAGTAGGTGAAAGGCTAATGGGAGTACTTGATAATGGATAAACACACAAGCCTACTGATAAATCTTGATATAATAATAATAAATAAAAAGGCAACCAGCATTGTATGTTTCCTGATAAGATCCTGTTAAGGAGGGCACATCAACTATGAAGTAGTCTAGCTGAAAAATCTAACCTGAATCTGGTAACATCCCTAGATGTAACTACTGTTTACAAGAAAAATGGATGCAGCAACATTTTAAACGACACCACAAGGTTGAATTCTGAAAAGACGAAAATGTGGGGAGGGGGAATTATGTTTTTTAAATAAATAAACTATAAGGGGGAAAATGAGAGAAAGGGGAAACTTAAAAAGACAAATCAATCAAAAGCAATGTTTGAATCACAATACAAACAAACCATAAAATAAAGCATACTGAAGACAAATGACTATCAACTGGTTATGTGATAGTAATAAATTACTGATAATGGTAAGAGGTATGAAAATTATGGCATTGTGGTTATGTTTTTGAAAAGTCATCCTTATCTTTTAGGCATATGTACTAAAAAAGATTTATTGTCTAGGGTTTATTTGAAAAGAATTGGGTAAGTGGGTGTTAATATTTGTTGATGTTGCATAGTGGTTCACTACACTATTCACTCTACATTTGTATATGTTTGAAATTTTTCCATAATATTTAAAAAATATTTAAACCAAGAAGAAAAATTGAAAAGGAGAAAGAACAGGTTTGATTATGTATTTTTCACAAATAAGGAAAATGAGGACACTGGAGCATCTTCAAGTTAATGACGAAATATAAAATACAATTCTCATTAAAGAATAAATTTTGGAGCTAAAATATCTAGGTTCAGATCCTGGCTTTGCTACTTGCCAGCTATATAACCTTGGACAAGCAATAATGCCTCTGAGCTTCAGTTTCCTCGTCTATAAAGTGGAATAATTTACATACTTCATAGGGATAAACAAGCTATTACATAGAAGAACTTAAAATAGTGTATAACACATAATAAGCAATATATATATTTACCAATTACCACTGAGTCGATTCAAACTCACGGTGACCCCATGTGTGTTAAAGCAGAACTGTGCTCCACGGGGTTTTCAATGGCTGACTTTTTACAAGCTCTCCAGGCCTTTCTCCCAAGGCACCTTGAGGTGGTACAATCTACACACCTCTGGACAGACTTGGACTTCCAGCTTTTCAGTCAGTGGGTTAGCAGCCAAGTAAGCATGTTTACTGTTGGCACCAACCAGGGCCTCCAAGCAATATATAAGTATATGCTATTGCTGTTAAACAAAATCGTATCTGCACTGTTTGACAAGTTCACACACCAGCAAAAAATCTTAACAACTAATTAATCCTAGCATATTTTTATGTATAAATATATCTGTTGACAGAAAAATATTCAATATATTTTAAAATAGATGTAAAGAAAGTTACAAATACAGTAGAAAGAGTGGGCTTGATTTTTTTTTTTTTTTTAAGAGTCCATTAGAAATAGAAAAACATTCCACAAGTGTATTTGTATGTTCTGCAAGAATTCCCAGGTGTCTAGTAGAGCTGACAAGGGACAAGGTTGCAGTCACTTCTTGGTCACAGCCAGCTACCCAGAAGGACCAAGTAGTTGAACCTGTGGGCTCAGGACCTCAGCCGCAGGGGACATCAAGCTCAATTGACATAACATACTACACAAAACATTGTTCCACCTCCTACTCTGGTGAGTAGCAACTGGGATCTTAAAAGCTTACAAGCAGCCATCTAGATGCAATGATAGGTCTCTCCTCGTCCAGAACGAAGAAGAATGAGGAAAACCAAAGATTTGTGGAAACAATTAGGCCAAGCAACTGGTACACCATGCGATCCGCAGCCTATACGACTATGAGACTGGAAGAACTAGATGGTGCCCGGCTACCACTGTCAACCACTCAGAGGGGGATCTATGTAGGAGATCCTAGATAGAGAGGGAGAACAATGTGAAACAAAATTAAAAATCATTTGGGGAAAAAAAAGAGGACCAGGTTTGCTGGTCTGGTAGAGCCTGGTGGAACCACTGAGACTATGACCCTTAGCTGCCCTTCAGGTTTGGAATTGAACCCACACCTGTGTCTTCCAGCCAAGCAAAAGACAGGCATAGGAGTTGAACATTTACCTGAGGTGGATACACTCCTTGGAGAGAACAATCATGGGAGAAAGAAGGGCTGTTTATGAAAAGGGAGACAGCTCGGGGCAGGAGTGCATGGAGGGAAGGACACAGGGAAGAGGTAACTATCAGGAGGGGAGCTGTTGCCTTGTGGTGGATTGTGGTCAATGTCATGAGACAAAGTGTATATGAACTACTGTATGGAGAGTGAATTTGCTCTGTAAACTTTCACTCAAATCAGAATTAAAAACAAATAAATAAATAAAAAGAAAAACAGATACCAAAAGTAAGCAGTTGCTATATCATGGGTAATTTTTTTTTTTTTTTTTGCTTATCTACCCTTTCTGTTTTTTCTATAAGCAGGTTTTTAAATTAAATACTATAAACAATACTTCCAACCTATACCTCTTGATCTTACTATTACTTTAATCATAAAAATATTATCAACTAAGTCTTATGTTTAATGATGTATATCCACTTTCACATAAAAATAAGCTTCTTCTTCAGCAGCAAAAGAGTAAACACATGGAAACTGAACAACACCCTCCTTGAGAAAGACTGGGTAAGAGAAGAAATCAAAATTGAAATTC